TATATCTTTTCAGGTTAAAGCAGAATGATGTGCAACCAAGTGGTATTTGCTTATGACGACTGCGTTTGGGAACAACGTTTATTTCGTAAAAACAGTGAAACAATTATCACTTTTTATTTGTACTTTGAATAATGCTTGACATTACCATTTTTTTTCAAAAGTTTCTGACATATTTCTGATCGATTGGTGATAAAAATATTGAAATTGATCCAGGGGCAGCTGAGTTATTAATGTTCAAAATCTTTCATAATTTTGTTTCATGTTCCTTTTTTGGTTTTCACAAAGACAAATTAAAGACGTAGTCCTACGTCAATAGAGCTTCTCGTTATTGACTTTGAGTGATTTTGAGTTCGATTATTGGTTGCATGACGTTTCGATTGACCCGCCCGCAGATTGGGAGTTTCAGGCCGGGCATCCCTGAAATAATGTCCGCTTTTGACCTCCGGTAAGAGTGGCGCATAAGTCGTTTACAGGTTTGAAAAGAAACTGACTATTTCCGGTACTTTGGGGACTGAGCAATGTAACGCTTGGTCGTTCGTTACAGTTCGTTACAGTGGTGCAAATATCTTGGCGCTTTCATCGTAACTGGTTATCACCGTATTTTTGGACAACTTTGGAATCAAAACAACAACTCTCACTTCACCGCAACAGTTAGAGCTCTGGAACGCATCGATGTTTGCACTACGGGAGTCACTGATCCTCTCGCCGCAGTCGTGCCATTCCTGTCTTCGTGCAACAGTCGCCTTTGAGAAGCTTCTAGAGCTAAATCCTCAAACTTGTTTTATGTCATTGTACTTCGTATACGTAACACAGCATGTCAGCCCTTCACAGCATAATTCTTCCACCAGATCACTATTTTATTTTTACGGATAGTCTCAGTTCCGTCGAGGCTATTCGCTCCATGAGGCCCGCAAGCACTCCTCGTATTACCTCATCATCATCTCTTTATCTTTAAGATCTTTTGTCATCACCTTTGCATGGATCTCATCTCATTGCTCGATTCCGGGCAATGAGATGGCGGCGATATTTATGATCTACAAATCGCCTACGATGTATTTTTCTTCATTAATCGTCAACAGTCACTCGTCAGGTGGCAGAATGAATGGAGTGAAGGGAGTTTGGGACATTGTGTGTGTGTTTTTTTTTCTATAATAATTGAATAACTGCTGCTATGAAATTGAATAGGAATAAGTTTATGTTTAAGAAATAATGAAATATATGTATCGTAAATCATAACTCAAACCTCCTTTTCTCTCTCCCCATCCATAAACTTGTAAATCTTTACTAACCTCGAGACGACCGCGAGTAATCGGTTCAATTAAAGGGCGAACACGACATTATTGCGACACATTCAACAGGGCATAACTTTTTTACCATTGGGTAAAAATCAACCAAATTTTGCACACTTTCTCATTGATGTGTATTGTGTACATGCTGTCAAACTCGAAGTCGTGTTTTTTCGATTCAACGAAAATGGAGGTGAACCAACGCGAGTTGAGAGAACAAATTCTTTCCAAACACCTGGAATTTCCTGACCTGTCGCACCGGCAGTTGGGAAAAATGTTGAACATTCACCATTCAACCGTCTCCAGAGTGTCGAAGCGGTTCCAGGAGAGGTTGACCGTGCAGTTCTAGAAGAAAACCGAGACCGGAGAACAAAAAGACGGAGGGAAAGGTGAAGCGGATGATTAAAGCAAATCCCAACGTCTCAAGCCGTGATTTGGCTAAAAAGATCGGCATGTCGCAGAGCTACGTCCAAAATGCAAAGAAGAGAGCTTGACTACATACATACAAGGTACAGAACTTCCCAAACCGCGATGAGCGGCAACAATCGACGGCTAAAACTCGGGCACGGAAGCTCTACGAGAAGATGCTGACAAAATATGGCTGCTGTGTGATGGACGACGAAACGTATATAAAAGCCGATTTTAAGCAAATTCCGGGGTTGGAGTTTTTCACCGACAAGAGCAAGTTCGATGTGGACGACAAATTTAAGAAGAACAAAATGTCGAAGTTCGCCTCCAAATATCTCATTTGGCAGGCCATCTGCTCTTGCGGACTGAGGAGTGAGCCTTTCGTGACAAAGGGCACAGTAAATGGCGAGATCTACAAATCTGAGTGCCTCGAGAAGCGCCTTTTGCCGTTCTTGCAGCAGCACGACGAAGCTCCGCTATTTTGGCCAGATTTGGCATCATGCCACTAACCTAAAAGTGTCCTGGAGTGATATGAGGCCAATTCTGTCCATTTTGTTCCAAAGGACATGAATCCGCCAAACTGTCCGGAGCTGCGCCCGGTGGAGCAGTGCTGGGCAATAATAAAGCGGGAACATCGGAAGAGCAAGAAGACAGTCAAAGACGAGAAGGACATGTTAAGAAAATGGAAAAAAAAAACTGAGAAACTGGTACCGGATGACACTGTAAAGACTTTGATGGAGGGCATCAAGCGAAAATGCGTTCAATTTTACACTCAAAGCTCCATCGATTAACTTTTCTTTTGATTTTTGAAGTAAATATATGTGTAAAACTACCCTAAAATTTTGGTTTGGTTCTAAACATTATAAGAAAATTGGCATGACATTTTCGGTGTCGCAATAATTTCGTGTTTGCCCTTTACTCTAGCTTTAAATTTAAGATATTAACTATGTAAAACGCAAATGTTAGCTTGGCTCTGTAAAGTTTATTCGATTGAGCCTATGCAAATTCAATAATACATAATCTACGTAAATTGACAGATTTCTCTTTAAACAGGTATTCCACTAAGACACCCACATTCATTCATTAGGAGGTCATTGTTCACTCGGCTGTCGACAAAAGCAGGCCACTCTCGATGTGTGCCACGCGATCGTCTGTTTTCTCGGCAGCAACCATTATTGTGTTGTCCTCCTCATTGTTCTTCATCAGCAGTTCTTTCGGTCTATGCGTCGTCGACTTTGGAAAGCAACCGTTTCGTGATGCGTGTGTGAGTGCTGACCACGTTTTGCGTCCATTGCTGCAATGAAAGCGCTCTGACCCTCGTTGGCGTAACTGCCATACAATGAAACCACTGGAGGCAGCTCCAGTTCTGATGGAGGAGGCTTTTTGGATAGCGGAAGATAAAGTGATTATTGTGTTGTACCTTTTGACTATAGTTTTACGATGTATTGTAAAGTGACCAAGCATCCTCGGCTCTGTAAAGTTAATTCATTTGAGCCTTATCAAATAAATTTATAAACAACATCAGGAGGTTTCATGTGTCAAATACATACTTTACGTTCTATTATCATATCTTGAATTATAATCCCAAAAACAAAAAATATAGCGAACGAATGGTTGCAAGCCTGGTTGTAAGTAAAAATAATAACACTTAATTATACTGATGATCACACTGTAAAACCTCTGGCAAAACATATAATCCATCAAACTTTCCAAATGTGTTATCCATCATTATATTTGCTTATCTGCTTGCTGGGAAAGTTTCTCCACTCATCAGTTATTAACGACTTTGGCCATTACTTTTCCGGAGGAACTCCAATAACATATGAAACAGAAATGGTGCTATTTTCCCATAGATTGTTCCCATGGGCACACTACACCACTTCGTCCACCAGACGTTCCATCGTTAAACATCCCCCCTGCTATTCATCATATTCCCTAGATTCATGTACAGCGATTTAGAATCGTAAAACTTGCCGCACTCAATATCTCTTCATAAATCTCACTCCCTCCCTCTGCTGCAACGCTCTCCGAAACCATTTGCTTGCTTCCAACGAGCGACACACGATAAGATGCAAAAGCTCCAACCAACGTATCCAGCCCCTCCGGCTCAGAAATGTTAATATTTTGGTCCCCGTCTTCCGTGCCTGCATGTTCGAGTCCGCCGCTCCCTCTCCTCCCTGCAACTCAACGCAATAACCCTAGCTCCGAGAAAGTGGCCGGGAGTGTCGAGTACAAAGCAAACAACATTCTCAAAATCTCATTCAAGTTTGTGTGCCTCCTTTGCCTTTTGCATGACTCAGGCTTCCGCCGGAACTCAACCGGTCTGCTCTGGTCAGACCTCACTGCAGTCAGTCCTGGTCCTGCACGCGTACCTCTGTGCAGGAGGCGGACTCAAAAGATAAGTTTACTTTGTCCTCGAAAGTTTTGCTTACCTACAGTCTGCCTTGAAGATGGGAATGTCGACGGATGGTGAGGTGCCCAGTCTTACAACAACAACAAGTGCTATTTACAGCATAACTGGTACTGGGCTCTCTTCACATATATGCAACATAAATCATCAGATTGTTCGTTGTCCGGTTGTCGCATATGAATAGCAGAGATCTGTGCCTTATACTGTTGCAAGGAGTGCTAAAAAATGATGCAGATAAATTCGGCGAGGCACTTTGCTTTGCATGCGAGACGAAGGAGCATACTAATATTGTGCTCTTTCAGAAAGTGGAGTTTTTGTTTTCCGAGAAATTCTTACAAGTTATGTTTAAAAGCGTAGATGGGTCCTTTTCTGTTGTTGGTCGGAAAATGTGCTCTTCGGGATGATCGCTTCCGAGCGGAACACATGAATCAGAGTTAAGAAAATTGTTCGTTCATCTTGTAAAGGGGAACCGGTACATGTTAGCCATGAGCAGAGCAAAAGAGTTACGTATACAGTAACCTCTTCGTATGTGCGGTGGGTGGTATCGTTCACCCACCGCTGTTTTCGGTTGTCCTTCAACCAATTGAGCTGACTTTCTGTATGGTTGACGCTAATCACATAGCGGAATTGGCGGACGGTACTACCCCCCGCATATACGGAGGGACTACTGTATGTGCAAGCAAACTGGCTTCCAAACTACTCAGGTGAAAATTTGAAGTGTTTTATTCTCGAGTAGGCCACTGGGTCCTGGTTTGTGTGCACTTGTTTTCCTCTTGAATGGGAAAGCTCTGTAAAATGTTGATTTATTTCTTGAAGGAAGAATGCCTGAGGTATGTCTTCCGGAACTAATCTCTATGCTCTAAGACGCAAGACAACCCAACACCCCTTGCACTCACCTTTGTACCCATTCATCGTCAGATACCGATCGCCCTGATCGGTCAGCTCCCCGTCGTACACGCTGTTCTGGAAAAGGTTCATGTTGTGCCCGCTGGACGACCCGGTGGCCAATATCCGCGGTCGGTCCTCCTCCAGAAACCGCTCCGTGCTCTCGTGGTAGATCTGGTGAATCGATGCTTCACACTTGAGCTGCAAGCATAAGAAGAATGGGAACATCGTTAGACAAAGACCGCAAGCACGCTTCGACACCTTGCTTGGAAGTACAATGTAGTTTCTCACTTTCCAAGCAGAAGGGGTTTGTGTGAAAATGCCACGCGCTAATTGAAAGGATAATTGGAATTAATCCTTCTCCGATGCCTTCTTCTTCGCTCGGGAGCGAGCGGAGCGCACAAAGGCATGTCTCTGCTCAAGCGTCGGTTGTCTTGACGTTCGAGGTGCTAGAATGGAAAATCTTTCACGTAGCAGCCACAATGGCTTAATTATCAAGTTGTCTTCTTTTTGTGCGGTCGGTTAAATCGTTTTTAAAGGATCTGAATCCTAGGAAAAGGGACTCCGTCTTTGAAATGCTTGAGCAGTGCTGCATGGAAATTGAATGGGGGGAATTTTCAGTTGGTTCATTATGGATAAGGGATTTGGGATATTTTTTCAATAACGTTAAAAGAAAGATTTACTTAATTATGTGCCTCATGTTCATCAAAATATCTTAAACAGGGAGCGAAATAAAACAATCCAATAATTGAAAACTGTTCGTTGGCAACATTTAGGATTTTTTTTATTTAAGGTATCAAAATTACATGGGTATGGTCAAAGCTTCGAATTCCTTTTTTAAATTATGTCTATTTCTGGTGATTATAACAGTTGTTGGGTTAGAATCACCAACTCTAGGTGAGCAACACGTTTTTGTCGTGTATGAGCTTTAAGCTGTAATTAAGTGTTTATTTAAGATAATTTTATAGCGATCCTGATATTAACGACTTACACATTTGGTGTACTGTCTCTGGAAGTGGTGCGCTAAGATTCCCACTGTCCACTGCATTAGTTTTAACTGTATCTATAAATTCACCACTAGTATTAAGTTCAATTTACGTTTCATCAATCCGTACTTACAATAATTAGAATGTAGGTTTAGATTTTAGCACTGAACGGTAAATCGTGTAGAAAACTAGCTTTATGAACTGTTAATAGTTAGCTTTAGATAGATTTAATTAGTAATTAACAATTGTGATAAATTCACCTTACATACAATTAAAACCGCATTGATTTGAACAATAAATTGTGCACTATAAATTACTCTACTGTTCTTTCCTTTCTTCCTTTTTGTTGACGTTCCGACAGTCCGTGACGTTCCTCGAGATCGATGTCACTATGTTGACAGCTGACGCAGCGCCGCCGCGATGAGGGGTCTCGTCGTGACAACAGTATTGCGCCGCTTATAATTTATTAGAGTCTGGGGGCGATTGAGGCGCATGAGAGCCGCAACGGAAAAGTCATTGTTGCTTTTCAGTTGAGTTTTTTTTTCTTTTGATAAATAAACAAAACCTAACGTGGAGTTGATACGCAGATAGACTGCTCCAGATTCGTAGATTAGATTTCAATAATTATTTATTCAACCTCAAGGCTATGGCCGATATTCAGGAGAGGGTTTCACATCAAAATGCATCCTCCAACACCGCATATCATGTTTATACGGGTTCTACTTTTTGGGTCTTAAAAAAAGCCAGCTGGCAAAAATATATGCGAAACATCCGTCGACAATCTCAAACTGGATTACATTGTACGAGCAGAACAAGGTTTTTTTTCCCGTAAGGAAAAAGCTAAGGGTTTCCTTCGTTTTGGAGCCGAGGAAAGAACGTGGCTTATTAATCTGTACAAAATGAATCCGGTTATGTTCCTCGATGAAGCGAAACACAAATTCATGCATTATTTTCATAAATCTATCAGCACCGCCTCCATCAGCAGAATTCTTCTATCAGAAGGTTATAGAAGGTCCTAGAACGACGTGCAATCCAACTACGGCAGGAGAAGATCTATCGCTTTTTTACTGAATTGAATGAGACCAGGATATTGCAATAACGATAGCAAAAGCTTTGAATGATTTCAAAGACAGAAGCTGTGTGAATATTTTCCGAAAGTGCGGGTATCTACCTGGGGGAAATTTTGATCCTAGTGTTGGATTGGGCCAAACCATGAGAGACATTGGATTTTTGAGGTGAATTTGACTAGTGCTGGTGAACTGATGAAGTAATTGTGATTTTGTGTAATAAAATACTCATTACGAAAATGTTTTTATTGATAATTTTATTCGAGCGTTCGGAAACATAAAAAAAATCGGAGTCAATCGCAGTCTATGCATGGTCAACATCGATGCAATCACTCATAGTTTTGGCTAACTCCATGGAAAAGCGATTCTCCTTCGCTGCGACGGAGTTATTCATGGCCTGTACCATCTGTGCATATTCTCTTTGCTTATCCTCCATTAATCCAATCCTTTTTCCCATGACAGCATGGTCATTTTTCAGGTCTCTCAAGATCCTGCTGTAGGCATTGTTGATATTGTTTGCGATCTGTAGATCAAGGCGAGCTTTTTCCAATAGAGTGTCACTGTGGACTGGTACAGAGCTAAACAGGCTGATCAGATGTTCAGGGGGTGTCTCGTGCATCAGTTTTTCTCTGACGTCAACTGGCTTAGTAGCAGTCCAGCTAGCCCAGCAACCCCAGTTTACATCGTCGCCGCTCAAGTACCGTAGCTCAGCCTTGATCTTATTCACGGGAACCAAAGACTCTGTTCCAGCGCGGTCTTTTGACGTAGGACTACGTCTGTTATTTCTATATGGGGGTACACTTTGTGAAAACCGAAAATGGAACATGTAACAAATTATGAAAGATTTTGAACGTTAACAACTCAGCTACCCTTGGACCAATTTCAATAATTTTATCACCAATCGATTAGTAATATTTCTACGCATCTGTTAAAGCTAAGACTTTATCATTTTTCAAAATGTCACTATTGAACATTGCAAGAATGTGCAACTGTTGCTTTGAAAATTAAAATTATCACCGTTTGCCTGCAAAAGGCGATTTCCCTAACACAGATTTCAAAGTTGAATTCCATACGGTCTCACAAAACGGTGTTTATTCAATCACCGCGTGGTGAGTGGTGGTGTTCTCCAGTACACAACGAAAGGCTGACTGCAAGCAGTGAGCCACAGCCCACATGAACATCCATAGAAGGAGGAAGAAGCCGCACCGCTATTGATTGGAATCAGTAGCTCTTCGTGAGTCGCTGTGGGCCATCTATGTCAAGCGCGTCATACTAAAGAGTATAAACAGAGAGAACCCCGCTCAAGTTCCAATTCCTACACAAAATACCAGCCTCAATCGCTGATAAGATTCAATTCTATTCACCGTGTGTGGTGGTGTCCGGTCGTCGGCATCAGCAGCAGCAGTGTTATTGGCGCGTGGTGTTGAACATTGTTCTCCAGCACACAAAGAAAGGCTGACTGCAAGCAGCGAGCCACAGCCCACATGAGCATCCATAGAAGGAGGAAGAAGCCGCACCATTATTGATCCGAATCAGTAGCTCTTCGTGAGTCGCTGTGGGCCATCTATGTCAAGCGCGTCATACTAAAGAGTATAACAGAGAGAAACCCGCTCAAGTTCCAATTCCTACATAAAATACAGGCTCCTGCTGCAGTTAACGAATAAGATTGATTATATAAGACCACGTAGTCCTACGTCACCATTGCGTACAACCCCATAGGGCTGTCCCTTGTAGTTTTTCCAAATGTCGTACCAAGCTCTGTTCCAATAAGTTCCACCTGTGAAGACTTGTTACAGAGTCTGAATACCTGTACACTACAACAGTGATTTTCTTTGATATCCAACTTTGCAGCATTGCTTCATCGACCTTCGCTGGACCAAAACTACGTTTGCTAGTTTTGCCTTGAACAATCAGAAAGTTGTCGCAGTTCTCAGAGCTTCTTCGTCCCACGACACTTTTGCAAAAGAGGCACTAGACTCTGCCTCCATACTCTCATGAATGATGTCATGGAAAACAGCCGCCCGGTGCAAAAACTTCGAACAGTAGATCCATATTTGTCTGACAACATCATCGGCACTATCGCCTCCCACAGCAAGAGATCCACAAGGATCTTGATTTTTCTGGTTCTTGAAGCGTTTCTCGTAAACTGACCCCTTAAATGTCAGTTTGTGTTTTCTTGATGCAGGATGCTCAGTATCCGGGTACTTTTTCTGAATCAAAAACAAAACACACGCTATGATTCAAGTTACAGATAAAATCATTCAATGCGAAATACCTTTGTTGAAGATGTTGAAGCTACGGGTTCCAATTCGTCCATCAATGAGACCACTGGTTCTGGTTCTGGTTCCACATCCAGAAGGTATTCTTCATTGTAGAACTTCTGGAAGAAATCGGATGCTTTTCCAGCCGAATCTAGGCTTATATCGTAATCGATTTTGAGTGGATCTGAATATCCATCTCAACCTCCACTTTCTTTTGCATCGTTTTCGAATTTTAATGAGGATACACTTTCAGAATCACTCATTTTTCGTGTTGATACTCGCACAATATTCTTAAACTACGGGCAGACGAATATCCAAAACAAAACGCAATTAAATAAACAAATGATTATTCTGGGAAAGTTCAAGATGTTTATGAGATGAAAGGTGTTCCCGATAATCAAATTGACATTGCTAGTCAAATAATAATAATTATTATTCTTGTAGTGCGTTGGTGTATATTCTGCTTACATTTAACATTTAACAGCTGACTCAGCACGTCACCCAATCAGCACCTTGAGTGTGCGTGAGCAAATTGTTTGTCTCTTTCACCTTTCTTATTCCGCTGTTCACCGCTCCCTACTTTTGCTTTATCTTCAAAGTGAACAGTTGGGAGCACCTTTCATATTGAGAACACCTTGGGTGATACAAGAGCATGGAGTCACTTGATTTTTAAACAGTATGTTTTTGGTGATTCCATAGTAATGCTTATAAAAGAGTCATTCTCTGATGTTGAGGAACTTTGCGGATATTATTTCGCTGTTAACCAGCTGTCATCGAAGATAGCCGCTGCTTTTGGATTAATCGTGAGATGTACATTATATTGATTTAACATTTTAATTGATTAGCCTACCTGCCTCATTATCTTTGTTTAATTTGATATTCTAATTTAATATTTACGTTTTCAACTAGTTTACAGAATACCTCTTTATTTGAATTGAAAAAAAAAGTGATAACCTACACAGATAAAAATTCTGAATTTTAATTGTGATGTAAACATTCAATCACGTACACTTGTTTTTCATTTCACGCAACCGAGCAACTTGCAAACAATGTTGTTTACAAATATTGGCTTTTGTATACAATATTTGCTACATTGTCAGAACTTTACATGATATATAATGTAAACGTATATGATATGTGACGCTCTATTTATGTGCATCATATGGAACAGAAATTTACTCTACTTTTTCGAACTGTGTACCTAACTATGAGTATAACTTAACTTAACGTGCTGAATCACGTATGATCTGATGATTTGACGTCAGACAGGTGTCTCTGAACCTTTCCATGATGAATACTCTCCGTTCTTCTAATGTCTGAATTCCAGCCAGTAGGTGGATCTCAGAATTTATAGTCCGCGGGGGACTGTTTAGGACCATCCTAAGGATCTTGTTCTGGATCCTTTGGAGTTAAAGGTGATGACATTTGGCGCAACTCTCCCAGATTGGCATCCCGTATTCTATTACGGGAAGGATGATTTGTTTGTAGACAGCAAGCTTATGTTGAAAGCATCCGATGTGATGCCATTCAGAGAGACTCGGAACGTCCTGTTCGATAGGTAGTTGTTAATTATCTTCATAGGAAGATTGGAAGACCGTACTGCTGCAATTTGAACACCAAGCCATCATGCCAGACATTATTGAACGCTTTTTCAACGTCCAACAACGCCATGGCAGATGTTTTCGAAACAGACTTGTTCCGTCTAAGAATGTTTGTTACTCGAGTCAGTTGGTGGACGGTTGATTGACCTTTTCGATAACCAAACTGCTCCAAACTGTTGTTTTCTTCGGCAGATGTTAGTAGCCGGCGGTAAACTGCCCTTTTGAACAGCTTGGATATTCCCTGAGAGAAGGCTGATGGGTCGGTAACTTGAAGGAAAGGAAGAATCCTTCCCAGGTTTCTGAATGGAGATGACTTTAGCTAACTTCCAGCACGAAGGGAAGTAGCCAAGTCGGAGGCACAGATTAAAAATCAGTGCCAGATGGTTGTAGAATCTGGAACTCAAGTGTTTGAGTTCCTGATTCAGGGTGCTGTCGAAACCTGGCGCCTTCATGTTTTTAGATGATTTGATATAGGCCAACAGTTCGTCAGCCGTAGTCTCGGATTCCTCTGGAAAAATGTTAGGAATCTGAATAAGATTGGTTGCATTTTCAGCAACCTCAGATTCATGAGGGCTGACGATGTTTTGTCCGAGATTATGGGAGCTGACGAAGTGTTGACCTATCGCGGCAGCCTTCTCTTCAGGAGTTATCAGATGAACCACTGGGTCACCGGGACGATCCAGTGGGGTCAGTGGTGGAATGGGCCTAGGCTTGTTTTTAAGAATTTTTGTAAGTTTCCTGAAGGGCTTAGCACAATCTGGGAGAGAGCGGATCTTACTAGCAAAATCGTTATTTCTGAGATCCACCATCCTGGCCTGAATGATCTTTGTTAATCGATTACAATTGGTCTTCAAGTTAGGCAGGCCAGTACGCTGGTACTGCCTACGAATGGTGTTACGGAGTCTAATGAGATCTTTGGTAGGGCTGTCAAGGTTCAGAGTGTTACTCACCTCTCTGGATACTGGCACGTATTGTTCCCTGGCCCGGGAAATCACCTCCTCGATGGTTTGTAGGCACCGGTCAACATCTTCGGACGTCCCCGGTTTGACATCGTAGTCGATGGTTGTGTCGACGCAGTGTTGATATTGCGCCCAGTTGACTCGATGGTAGTTGCGCCGGGAAGCTTCGAATCGGTTTATCGAGGATCCAACTTCGGCCACCACCGGATAGTGGTCCGAGCTCAGCTCCTGGAATGCCACAGGTTGCGAGACATTGTGTCCCATGTTGCTTACGAAGATGTCGATGGTCGCATGGACCCCAGACCGACTCAACCGGGTGGGAGAGTCCAGGGACAAGATGGTATAGTGGCCCTCTTGCAGGTCTTCTTTCATGATGGAGCCGTTTCGATTGCTCCGACCGTTGCCCCAAGCTTGGTGTTTTGCGTTCAGATCGCCAGCGATGATAAAGTTCCCGCTCCTCCGGGTGAGTTTGATGATGTCTTTCCAGAGGGCCACTGACGACCCATCCCTGATGTTGGTTTGCTTGGGGCAGTAGGCCGCGATGATGGTGATTGGGTCAAGTGATGTGCTCACCTCCACTCCAACCGCTTCAATTGTTTTCAGCTGGAAGTTTGGTAGCAGCCGGCAACTGATGTTCCGTCTTGCAGCAATGGCCACTCCTCCACCTCCAGAGCAGAAGCGATTAGGTCTGACGAGCCGGAAGTCGGGAAGGAATACGTTCAGTTCGGGCTTCAGGTGCGTCTCGGTGATGATAGCATTGTCGACCTCCTTGGTGTTGAGGAAATCGAGTAGCTCTCTATGCTTGTTCGTCAGTGAGCAAGCGTTCCAATTTGCAATTTTTATAGCTTCACGGTCCATACTTGGTGACGAGTGACAAGGCAGCATGAAGCTGTTCAGATCGAGTCTTGCAGGTACGCATGATGATGATGACCTCGGCCATGAGCGTCACAAGTTCCTCTGAGGTGAACGGAGATTCGTCAACTGAGTCACCTGAGGCAACACGGGCATACGATAGTCCAGGCGCCAAGGCGGAAGCTTGATTTGGCAGAGCTGCAGCAGCAGTGAGGCGATGTTGAGCTGAGGAGGCGACTCGTTGACTGTTGTTGAGAGGTAGCGGTGGAAGATTTGGGACCAGACGACGAGGACGGATTGCCGGGTATTGTTCGTCCGTGAAGGCTGGTGGTGCACATTTATTTCGATGCCGGCCTGGCTGGTTGCTAGTAGCCACCTTCTTCCTCATGGTGATGAATTCCGTTCGCTTGGGACAGTCCCGAGTAGTGGCACGGTGAGTTCCGCTGCAATTCACGCACTTCGGGTCGGTGTCATCAGCTTGAGCACAGGTCGCCGTCGAGTGGGCCATAGCAAACTTGTCGCAGCGTGGTTTCATATGACAGTTCTTCGTGCCATGGCCGAAGGAGAGGCAACTTGTGCATTGGGTCACATCACGGTGTTGCGGCTTGTAGTATTCCCAGTCGATAATGACTTGGAATAGGTCACGTAGGTTGCTCTTGAGCGCAGTAAGGGTGGTGGAGCCCTTCGTGAGGTTGACCAGAAACAGTTGGTCGCGATAGTTGGTTTTGGGTATAGGCCGTCGATTCATTGGGTGGACTGTCTCTGGTTTCAATCCTAGCCTCACCAGTTCATCTTTTACGGTAGCTGCTTCGTACGACGACAGACCTCGTAAAACAACTCGTGAGTGTAAAACTCCACTGTGCTGTTCTTCAGCAGGTCACTGTAGGCTGGAGCACATGATATTTGTTCCAACGCTACAGATTTTGAATCGCGGGAACAATTTGCGTTTTGCCAGCTCATCCCTAAGCTGGGCGACGTCCTTCATCGGGGTAAAAAGCGGGGGAATCCTTTTCGCAATTTCAACGGTGTCACCACCCTTATTTTCTACTCCGAGTACCGAGAATTGGTTGCTCTGTAGCAGCCGATTTGCTGCGTCATCCGAAGCAGCGCTGGGATCCGTTTGGGCCTTCTTGATAGGGCCCTCCGATGCAGGAGCAGTAGTACGCTTGCGTACCATGCTTTGTTTATTGGCAAGTGTAATTTAGGATTGGGCGATCTTGGATCGAGTTTTGGAAGATCGATCTTTTTCATCCCGATATCCGATTTTTCGGATCGATTCTTTGTCCACAAAAAGATCGAAAAATCGATTTTTTCTTTCGATATTTTCGAGTTTCAAACGCTTTTTGTTTTTTTAAGCGTATAAATTTGGTAAATTCAACGAAAATAACATCATCATCAGCATCGCTCCCTATGTTATTAGCTGGATAACAATGACGTCACTATTTGCGTTTCCTATATTTACGAATACATCAACATTTGAAGGTTTGTTCAACCTGCCTCCTGTGGTCATTGCTCCTTTCCGTCACATTTAAACTACACGGAGAAACAGAATTATGCATTGATTGATTATTCAAATGATTAATATTTATTTTTCGTTGTGAGCTGTCCCGTTTTTCTTGAAAATTAATCAACTTGAATCAATAATACATCATTCTGTTTCTCCGTGTACTTTGTTCTCAACCGAACTGAATTGACACGCACACATTGACAGTGAGCAAGTGTGACGTTCATTTCCTTTTTGTTTTCTTCTTTCTTTCCTTTATTTAACGTCGGTCTGTGTTCCGCAATCTAGTGCCAATCACCGACGGACATCGATTGCCATCCATTGACGGCAATCGAATGTGCAGGAAGGCAGCTTCCACACTTGCGTAGGATATCGCACCCATTCAACACACATGGGCCGGGACCAACGGCTTTACTTCCCTTCCGAAGGAAGACGTGACCAGAGATTTTTATGCCTCAGAAAAATCCCACCGACCTTTTTGTTTTCGTTTGCTCGTTGATTTGCGCGCATTTTATTCAATTAATAATTTCTTTTCGGTGATTTAATTGAATATTATAAAGGAATGAATTTCTTGGGGTACTAACATAAACAAACGTATTTAAAAAAAAATCAAAAGATCGATCGACCAAAGATGGATTCTTTGTGGATCAGTGGATCGATTCTAGAGCCAAATATAAGATCGATCCGTCAAGATCGATCTTTCTATGAAGATCGCCCAATCCTAGTGCAAATAGACTTGCCAATGCACCTGTCGATGACGGCACTTCCACCACCGACAAACCGACATGAAACTTAAACTTAACTCTTGATCGAGAATCCATAACGGCGGATTCAAATGTGCATCTGTCAAAACCATAGAATTTTTTTATCTAGATAAAAATAATAAGACCGGAATAGATTAGACACGAACCAACTCATACATTTTGCATGCGTGTTCGTGGCTAGGATACACATTTTTCGCGAACACGGCGGCAGATGTCAGTTTTGTGCTTTGATCAGAAATTTTATGGTTCTTTGTATGATAATTCATGTCGGTTTGTCGGTGCTTCCACGATGCGAACGTAGCAATAAAACGAACTAGAAAAAACTCGATAGCGAAGCGAACGAACGAACGAACTATACTGCTTGACGGTCTAGCAACGAATGATGTCTGCTTCAAATTCATTCTGATGAGACGTATATAAGAGGATAAGAAAAAAACCGCAGAAGTCTAGGATCAGTTTCATGAATTGATCACTTTTACGGATGTTCTGGATCTCCCGGTAGGCCAAACCATAATCCCCAGTGTTCATATTCCGGTCACATCTCCGGATTCATTCTGTTAATACGTCTATGAGTGGTTTCAAAAAACCGCCAAGCGCTAGGATCAGATTCGTGGAATGACCACTTTTACAGATCTTTAGGATCTTCCGGAAGACTATTACGTAGTCCTCTGGGTCCATATTTCGATCACAATTTCAAATTCATTCTGATAAGACGTCTATGAGTGATTTCGAGAAAAAAAAAAAACCGAGGAACAATAGGATCTGTTTCATGAATTGAACACTTTTACGGATGTTCCGGATCTTCCGGTGGATTGTTACGTGGTTCCATATTTGGGTCACAACTCCGAATTAATTCTGATAAGGTATTGCGCAAATTAGGTGAACCTGATTCTGTACCCAAGACTCGTCCTCTACAGATGCCTGAATATCACATGGTGTCAGATAATGGAAAATATTTGTGAATCTGTTCTGTTTTTCGAATTATTGATTGTGATTGGTATTACCGGTAAGACGTGAGAGTGTAAACATGTTTGCAGAGTGAAAATAGTGAGAAATTTCCAACAGAATGATGCCAGGCGAAGAAAACAAGGTTATGTTGGCCCACGCAGCGTCGATTAAACCACCGAAACTGCTCGTCATCGAGGAAAACATGGCGACCAAATGGAAGCAGTGGTGGCGTCAGTTTAACTGGTATTCGGTTGCAACGGAGCTAGTGAACAAACCACCACACATACAAGCAGCAACGTTTTTGAATTGTATTGGTGAAGAGTGCGTTCGCGTATTGGATACGTTCGGATTGACAGAAGCACAGGAAGGAGATATCAAAGTGCTAAAAGACAAATTCGAAGGTTATTTTGTGCCAAAATCGTGCCTCACATACGAACGGCTAAAAAAAAAGTCTCTTTGTTTTTATGGTTTTTATCAATTTGAACGATTAAAAAAAACTCTAAAATTGATGGTGTAAAAAAAAAGATCTTATTCCGGATTTGTATCTGAAGGACGAAAAGTGGAAGAGGCTGATAGGCAAACAGAAGGTCATCAAGATGGAGTGAATCAAGCGGGCCGCCATCCGGGAAGTTGAAGCATTTGAGTAAGGGTTGGTCGCCGGTAAGGGCCAGTAAGTGCTGCCAGTAGATGAATCAAGAGGTATTCGAAACAAAATTGGTAAGAAATGTCCATTCAAATCGATTTAATACAGTTGAACAAATTTCAAAACTATATACGTGCCAGATTTGGAAATAATATTTTTGAATCTGGAAGTGTGTTTATGATACCATTATCCATTTGATAAAGGTAGAGTGAACATGCGGGGCTTATTGTAAGTAAAAGTGACCTCGGAGTGGTCGTGAATTACCAGGCATTCTGAAATGGGTCACTGGAGCTGCAATAGAGCTAACACCTTCTAACTCCCGGACTAAACCTGCTTTAATTTAAGGGTAATAAAAGCAGTTTTCTTCCATAATAACACTGCCGGACAGTGGGGGTTAGATTGTACACACACACACATACACACACACACACAACTCCGAATTAATTCTGATAAGACATTTTGAGTAATTTTGAAAAAAGCCACGCAGCACTAGGATCAGTTTCATGAATTGATCACTTTTACCGATATTCCGGATCTTCCAGAGGACCAGACTTGTGACTTTCCGGAAGCTAATTTTTTTTTCCAAAAGGTGGTCTACTATCTTTTTAAAAACTTTTCGCAAGACACCAGGAAGTAATCTCTCCAAATTACCCTTAAATAAAAGTTTGTCCTCAATTAACTTTAATCTCATATGGTACTAACAATCGTTACGTCGGTCATAGCTTGTTATGATTGCCTGAACCATGCGTAAAGAGAAAATCGAAACATTGAACGTCGCGTGAAAGTGGATCTTAATGAAGGCCTAAGTACTCTTTCGTCGCTTTTAGTTTTAGGGATTTCAAAGATCGTCGGTTGCAGTGGCTTGCTTACTGAGCAGAAAAACGCGGTCCCAGGTACTTTCATATTAAAAATTTATGGTAAGATCCGAGGGGGACGACTCTATCTACGATGCAGGAAATATTGTGTTTTTCTGTGGCTAGCTGCGCGTACGCTGAGTAGATAGAAAGAAGATTTATCACGATTTTGAAGATTTCCTGCAAAAAGATGATGCGCGATGCAAGTAGATGCGAGAAATGAAAGAAGATTTTTCAAAGATTTATTGGCTAAGTGTGAGATTTTTTGAGCATCTAAAATTGAGATTTAGATGTGTCGCCCCCTCGGTAAGATCACTTGTTTATCGTGTATTTTGTAAAACTTTTCTTTGTCGTCGGTGCCGGGTTTGAATAGTTATAAAAACTTGAGTAAGGCTATAATGTGATATGAGGGGCTCGGTGGCCTTAGAGCAACCGGTTTTGCTTACTGAGCAGAACATCATGAGCCTAATCTCAAGCCCATCCACATTCAAGATTCGTCAATGGGTATGTTAACATGTCTACTTGGTAATAACAGCAACTCGATGATTAAAAAGGAGCTCGTCTGCCAAGTGGCAAACGTTTTTGCTTACTGAGCAGAAGACCGTGGGTTCAATCCCTAGCTCCTTCGCGTTGTATGATTGTTAGGACATCAATTCAGCTTATCGTTTACCAAAACGAACCCTGCTGCAAACCCAACCCTATTACCCAATATCCCAGTGATTCCTCGTTGAAGTGCAGAGGTGTTCTCGGCTTCCATCAAAGCGAGTGTCATGTCAAAACAATCCTTCCCATTCCTTTCTTGACCTGTGTTCGGGCGCGGCCGGCGCTGGTATTGCGTAATTTAAGATCACCAGTTTTTACACATTGAGGATGATTGCTAGTCCCAAGCATCGTCTATTGGTTCTCTGTGTAATTACAGCTGGTCTGGCAATAACAGAGTAGCAATCGTATTCGTTAATGCCGGTTCCTACACAGAAATAAAAATTCTGAATTTTAACTATCGTGTAAAATCTCCCTTCGTTTAATTTTGAGCTATACTTGGCATAAACTGCGAAATCGTTTACAATATCGCGTAGATTTATGCCAAATCTAGCGTTAATTTTATGTGCGCTATATCTCGCAGAAATAAACATGAATTTTTCGAACGGTGTACAGTAAGGGATCGTACTACAACCGTTACAACCGTACTATAGAAATCTTGACTATAACAAAATTTTGGAATTTTTTCGAGGCCTCTATGCTCAACAACAAACGAGCTCAGAGAGAAATAAGAGTGTGTATGTGTTAGCTCTCTCGCTCCTCTTTCTGCTAGTATTTTCTGTTTTGTTTATGCTTGCTCAGTTTTGCTCAAAATGCCGTCGAAACAAGAAGTATTTCGCGAGCGCGTTGTACAGTTCTACGAGCTGCACAGAAATCTCGGCAAAAAGTATACGGTACAACATTTTAAAAGCGAAAATGTTGCGGCTTCGACTGTTTACCATATCCTAAGATCCCCAAAAACTGCTCGGAAGCAAGGAAGTGGAAGACCAGCCAAAATTATGGACGCAAAAGGACCGAGAAAGGCATTTCTAAGCCATGGTTCAAGCCTTCTGGTTTAGCAATCAATCAATATACCAGAACGTTTGAAGAAAATTTTGATCCCGTTTCTACAAAAACATCATGCTGATGGACAATACGTGTTTTGGTCGGATAAAGCGTCATCGCATTGCGCCAAAAAAACACAATCGTTCCTGAATACCCATTCGATCCCATTTGTACCCAAAAACCACAATCTGACAAATCTGCCTCAGTGTCGCCCAATCGAAGATTTCTTCGGGGTTTTGAGCTCCTTGGTGTACAAAAATAACTGGAGAGCCACGAATTGCAAACAGTTGATTGGTAGAATCAAGAGATGCATTCGCAAAGTTGACATGACGGCCGTACAACGCTCCTGTTCCGACATCAAACGGAAGCTTCGCCGAACATCCGATGTCGGACCGTTTTCAAATGTTCACTATTTTTTTTTTCAACAATGGACAATGTATCTTTAATTTCAATAAATCAGATCTTCTTCAAGTATGTTTGTCTTTTTTTGACAGCTTGAGAAAGAAATTCCAAAATTTACGTTGCCACCCGTTAGTAAACGAAATACTTTTATGTCATAGTTTTTTTAAGTAGAAGTAGAAAGTAAATATTGAATTAGTGAAAGTGAAATCGACGCAATAGTAGTATAATAAAAAGGAAAAACAACGTAATAAGGTATACTTAAAAAGTGCCTGATGACCGGCACACACTATCCATCCACAAGGAAAACCTTTTCTATCCTATTGTTTTGAGTCAAGTCCAGCTCAGGTCAACTTCTGCAACCAAAAAATAAGGTACCTCGAATCAATTTAACTTTTAATTAACACCGTTTACCCGTGATGGAATTGAATCTTTTGTGATCGGTTTAAACTCGTGCCGGGACGGGACAGCACGTTCTTGGATACGACTACGCTCCACTACCACCATGGTAGATAAGCATGATTCGAGTAGGTGCCGTCCCAGGAAAAGTGTTGAAGGTAAACAATCTGGACTCACGAACAAAACGACACAAAAAAAAGCCATTTTCCTACACTTTCCCTTGGCGCTGCATACAACTTTGTTGAGCGCAGTTTTTCCTTGTATTCATCTCAAGAAACGTGCGACAAATGGGGGATGAAGTAGATTGAAATTAAAATTTATAATTAATTAATTTAACTTTCTCTCTCCGTTTTGATTAACATTTGAATGAACTCGGCGCCACAACGGGTGGAAACGGCAGTATTTACCAGGTCGTACCAACGAGCAATGCCACGCCGAGAGTGCATTGTGAACATTATTTAAATGCAAATCTGTGGGCGTATGCTTTGTTAGACAGATGTACAAAGTTTGCTCGAAAGTTAATTCATCAGACGTGCAGAACAAAACAAGTTGGATTTCAACTGAAATCATCCACCTTCAATCAACGTTACTCAAACTGGCATTCTATTGATCAATCAACGATCCATATCATTCATGGCTGCAGGGCACTCACCTTCAGTTTTCCTTTGATGAAATGGCTATGCGAGACCATCACGCTGATCCCCAGTATGGACGTTTCCAGTCCGGTGCTTTCATCCTTGATGGGTCTGTATTGTCTGGTTTGCTGCGGCAGTACCTAAAACGATAGTCTTTGATCAATTTGCTTATTGCTGGAAAATGTGTCTGTTTGTATTTATCGAAGGGAGCTCAGAAAATGCACGCGAGGAGCTGCTCGAATGATTGATTTGTATTTGTATAATTCTGGAGAGACAATGGACACTTTTTTATTCAACAGCTTGAAAATAATGTGATCCAGCTTTTAGCGATCACCCTTCGGTTTGACATTAGGCTGTTGCCTGTGTTATAGCGTTTAAAATGGAGGCTTTGAATAATAATAATAATAATAATAATAATAATAATAATAATAAAACATTAGAAGTGACAGATTACTTTCATCGATAATTCAGGAACTGGAGTCTGCACATTGTAGACGAAATACGCGGATCTGTCGAGGATACGTAGAGCTTCCATATCCAGGGATTCAGGAAGTGTTTATTTGACATCCGGGAAAATCCTTGGATCCCCGGAAGTGAATAGGAAAAGTTAATTGTTTTAATAGTCATATGTTTCTTATTTTTTTAAACGATGTTCTGAAATGTATGTTTGATTTCTTTCTTCAAAGGTGGAACTTTCTTCAAACTAGGGACACCAGATTTGAAGAAATATCTTCATTTTGAAGGTATTTAAAATTATGTGAAGGTATTTTTTCATGCAGACAATTTGAAGACAATTCATGATTTGTGAAGTTGTTTGAAGACATCCGGAACCTGAACATTTTTTAAATTTTAAGCTAGCATATGAAGATTTTTTACATCATTTGATGTTTTTGACTTCATATTTTAAGCTCCTTCCTGAATATGTCAAATATGAAAAATGTAACCAAAATCGATTATTTCAGAATAAAACTTGATTTCCTTGAATATTCACAGGGCTTCATTGATATCTTCGATAAACTGGAGATCTTTTAAATACTTCCTGACCAACGTGCAGTTTTGGGAGAACATCTCACAATGATATTTGATCAACCTGAAGCCTTGAAAAATATATGGAGAACTTTATTGCAGTCTTCGATCAGCAGACCAATATGCTATTTTTGAGAGAACCAAATGAATCTTTGACCAGTTTAAGATCTTCAGATTTATTGATAACCCTGAGTTCACTAATATCTTGAGAGATTATCTGGAGACGTCATTTGAATTTTATGATCAGTTGAATATCCTAAGAATAGTTATTGATAGACCTGAAGTCTTAACAATATCCAAAGGGCCTTAAATCTCCGACCACCTTTATATCCTTTACATACTCTCTAATCATTCTTCTGTCTTGGAAGGATGTCTGAAAGACGTCATTTGAATGTTTGAACAAATTGCGGATCTACAGAACATGCAGAACATTTGAAAAGTCTTGAATAATATTCAATGCGAGGTTACTGATTGTAGAGATAACATGAGAATGTTTATAAATAAATGACTTCAAAATAGGCACCCATGCATCTTCTTAAAGAAATATTAAAAACCGAAATATTTCCCTCATTATTGCAAAGCCTTTCTATCTTCCGTTCGATCTTCATTCGTTTGGGTAATTCCACTTTCAGAGGTCTGATGAACGGTTGCTTGAAAAAGCGGTAACTAGCAAAACAATGTGTTTTCCCAGCTATAAAATGAACAGCAGCGAAGCAGTTTGGCTCATTCAATCAACGAACGGCGTAACGATCGGTCGCATTTAGGAGCGACATTCACCTTTAAATAGAGCAACAGTGGAGCAGTCTTGCTTATTCATTCCATGGAGCCACATCAGCAAGCAAATCGGTTCGTCAAGCCACCCGGAACAACCGAAAATCACGACAATGGCGCAGATGGTACCAGAACCAAATCTTCTCCCAAACGGTAAGTTTTATTTTTTTTTTCTCTAACTTATGGATTTCTAGTCGAGGCAGAATCCTGGTGAATTGAAGTGTGCTCTGACAGTTGAGGCAGGGTATCATAACATGAATGAAGTCCTTTATGGAATATAATCTGTAAGTCGAGACAGAGTAACTGATACAGCATGTAATGTGTTTTCACAGGAAATCTAAAGGCACTAAGCAAAAGCTTATGGAAGAATTGTCAGCGATGAGAACCGAATTAACTACCATGAGATCCGAAAAGGAACAGTTGCTTAAGGCTTTAAAAACAGCTGGTACGGACTCCGGTGCTGTTATCAACCATCGGACATCGGAAAACGCGTCTTTGATTGCCACGATGAACAATATGTCCCTCTGTTCTCTGAGCATTGAAGAATGCAGACCTTCCGAAGGGGAAACAGACGTGGATAAGAAAGCTTTTGAACACTGGAAGGAAGTTCTTATTGAAATAATTCGGAACAATTCCAAAGGGAATAAGCTGCACGATTTGCGTTACTCATCAGATAAGACTTTGCGTGCCTATGCTTCTCAAGCGGAAATCAAAGTAATAGCTACCTTTTCTGCCAAATTGTATGTCTCCAAAGACAGGCCAGTTTACTTGCAAAAGTTCTATGTAATTGAAGACAAAAGGTCATTGTTGAGCTTTCAAACGGCAGCCCGGTATAGCCTTTTGGAAATTGGATTGAGAGTATCGATTGGCAGTAACGGAAATATTTGGCAATGTGAACTTTCGATGGTGAATGCTGTAGCAGATTCTGCCGCAGTAGAATTTCCAAAATTCAACGTTTCTCCAGTTCTTTTACATTACGATACTGATATACCTCCATCTAGAAACGTATATACACATATACCGCCAGCTTTCAAAGGATTGGCCCAGCAGAAACTCAATGAGCTCTTATCATCGGGAATCATTGAACTGGCCACAGAAGATATGGACAAATCTTTCTGTTCTTCACTGTTAGTTGTGCCGAAAGGCAAAACTGACATTCGCTTGGTTATTGATTTAAGAGGTCCAACCCGATGTGTTCACAGGACACCATTTAAGATGCCGACTTTTGAATCTATACTAATGGATTTGCATGGGTCAACCTGGTTCTCAACCATCGATCTCAAAAATGCATTTTTTCACGTCGTGCTTGACGAGCGCTGTCGACATTTGACCAATTTTTTCTCATTTACACAAACATTAATGAGAAACAGCGTTAGAGTAAAAATAGCTTTCCGACGGAGAGTCGTTGTCAGCGCCAATACGCTTCGTGCGACATCATTAGAGCATATTAAATATTACGAAACGCATAGCATTAAAAAACTATGTAATGAACAGGTTCACCGGGGTCTTCGCGGTTTTATTTTAAACAAATTTCTATGCAGGCATTTTTCAATGACCACGATTTGTTTTTACGCGTTTATTTTCCTGGCTGTTGCAAAACTTTTGTGAGACTTCTTTCCGGATAATACCCAGTAATAGTCTGAACATTTATCCTGAATATGCTTCGTGAGAATCAGAGCATGAGCATCGCGTTGCTTTTGCTTTTATGTGGGCATCCACATCATTCAAGAGTTTTGCTGATGCTTCGAGTACCGTCGAACAAGATGAACGAATATGAGAGAAATGATGCGAATATCAGTACCCTTGATCCAGTGAACTTTATTGATATCTCTCCGAAAATCCGTGAATATCAATAAAGTTATCTAACATTTCACGACGTTTCCTGAACTTAGACAAAGATTCCTGTACTTTTAAGAAGACTCTCAAAGCCTCTATGAAGTTCCTTGAATAATTTTCCATAGTTAAAAACGTTTAATTTTTCCATTGCTTGCTGAACTTGAATTCCAAATAATGTATACAATTTTCCGTAGTCATCTACAAGTTTCTCTGAGCTTATTAAGATTCATAATGTTTTTTTTTTCGATCGCATAACATCCATCCACTTCTCCCATCTTCCGGAAAGAACCTGAACATTTTCAAGGATTTTTCCTGAACATAGTGGCGAAACAAAACTCCCAAAGTTACACAGTTTCCTAAACTGATACGAAATTTCCTGATCTTCTACGTAATCTCCTGCCTGAACATCTACAAATTTTACCAAACTACTAAAAATTTTGATGAACTTCTAGAAAGTTTTCCGAAATTTATCAAAGTTTTCTGATCTTTTACAAAATACCCTGTAGTTAACTTCTACAAAGTTCACTGCACTATTATAAAATTTCTTAAACTGTTAGGATTTTCGGTGATTTTCTGCAATGTTTCATGATGTTCTACATTTGTCCTGAGCTTCTACGGAATTCAATAAACTAACCAATTCCATTAACAAAATGCCCTGCAATTTAGAGAAAGTTCTGGAACACAATTATGAAGTTTCCGGAGATAAAACCAGGTTCCCTAAACTTCAACAAAGGTCCCAAAACAGAAGTTCCCACATCTATGAAGGTTTCCGAATTTTAACAAAGCTCTCTGAATTTATACGAAATTCGCAGAAGCTCTGTGAATTTCTCCAAATTTTTCTTAAATTTCCTGAATTGCTACGCTGTCACGCTACATCAACAAAGTTGCTAAAATTTAGCATTCTCAGAGTTAACTGAACTTATATTTGCTTTGTTTCTAAAAAATATCCTCTTCTAAAAGTAGTTCCCTAAACTTCCACGAAGTTGTCTAAAATTGTACGAAGTATTCTGAAGTTCCTAAACTTTTACGAAGTTTTCTGAAATCAAATGAATGGCTCTTGATTAAAAAGTAGAAGGGTCTGTGCCTAGGGGCACGAACGGAAGCTCGACGTAGGACCACTCATGGACGGAATAAATGTGAACATTTAGTTCTTTTAATTGATCAATCATCAATTATCTTAACTCTTTCCGTTTTTTATTTGTAAGCGTATCAAATTTATAGTATTTATTTCAAAGAAAAAGTGGATGAAGAGAATCCAAGGGACTGTCAACTTGAGTATTTTCTATTCATCTACCCGACTTTAAAAGGTGTATTTTGATTTTTTTTTTGTTTTTTAATGAATTTTTAAGTTTTGTGCATTTTGGTATTAAAGTGCATTCAATTTTGGACAATGCTGATCATTCACCAGTTTTTCAATAGTTTCTTGTTGAAAATCAACATTCTGAATCATTGTTATCGATGCGTTGCCATATTTCTGATCGATTGGTGATAAAATTATTGAAATTGG